GCTAACTTGGAAGTAACACCAATCAGTTTTTATCCTAGCTTTGCAGAAGATGCAAAGAGAGAGTTCTGCAGGGCTTGAAATAAAACAGATTTACACATAAACCTTGACATGTATTGAAATGTCACTAGATCAAAGTCCAAGTCTAATTTGAAGAGGTTAAGCTGCTACAGTATTTCACCTTTTCTCCTTCATGTAGAAGCACATAGCTCTTCTTTATGCTGCATATAAAAAAAAGTTACCACCTTTCTGTGACTTTGTCTAAGTCTCTCCATGTCTTTCAAGTTGCATTTGAACTTGAAAATAATTTTCTGTAGCTGTTCTGCCAATGACCGGGCCCAACAAAAATGATACAGCCAGCAGGAAGATGAACCAATACACAGACTGTATTGTAGACAAAAAGGACATTCCATGAATGATCGCTGGGGGTACAAACAGATCCATCAGCTGGTACATAATTGATGCCACCCCCAACAATCCCACAAAGGACATGATTCGGCCCACAACAGGTGGTATAAACAAAGAACCGAGGTTGCCCACAGTTGGCATGGGAAACAGCCAGACCAGCCAGTTAAATACATAAGAGAAAGGTGCTCACATGGCGACTCTCACCCGATCAGCCCGCGTTTGCAAAGGCCTAGACAGACCAGGGCCCAGCTCCAGGGTGAGTCAGGAGGTCTGCCCTGAACCAGGAAGCTCTGGGGAGTGCACTCCACAGACAGACACTCCTGACTCCCTGCAAGTGGTCCCAGCTTTTATCCCCAAGCAGACCCCTGACCTTTGTCAACTCCACGCGGGACCCCTGGGGCTCATTTCCCTTCTAGCTCTCCCTGCAGGGCCGGCCGCACCCTGGGGGGAAGCTATAAGGCAAACTCACCACCTCTGTATGAAGGGCTGTGGGGATCACCCATATGTCAACCTTAATTCAGGGGCTCGGGGTTCAAACCCCAGCATTTCAGTAGCCAAGCTTGATTAGAACAAACAACTCCTTTTCACAAATACTTTAGAATTAGATACTAAATGCACAAATATTTCAAGAACTATTCAAGATGCTCCCTCTGAATTCTGAAGTACCAATCATTGCTTCTGGTTTTGGAGTGAAACCTCCAGTTGTACAGTCCTGTAAATTCATGTACAGTTCTAAATTGTAAGTTTTAAATTTTGATTCTTTACAGTCTCATATCTAAAAATGAAGTCATATTGTACTTATGCCCTCTTCCTGCCTTAACCTGAAAATAGTTAAACATGTCTAGCAAAGAATGCTTTCAACTCCCCCAAATCCTCCAAAGAAATTTAGCATAAATATAAGTTCAAGGTTACTTTCACAAGAAGGGATCCTAAATTGCTAAGTCAAGGAATTCCCAGAATAACAGGCTGACGTATGAACTCATGAGTTGCCCTTGTTCACCTTCATAATAATTAAGGAGTAATTTATTAAGTTGACATCAAATGCAGATAGAAGCTAAGCTAAATTACTATGTTCGTACACTGTAAAGCAAATATGAATTACATTAAAGCATTGTGAGGATATAAAAGGTTGGAAGACAATTCTGGAATCTCTGCAAAAGCCTCTACAGCAACATCTTTCATGATGAGTTAATAAAAGTAAACAAAAATCCAATTTATTGACTTCATATCAATAGCCTAAAGATACTTGTAACTTCAAGAAGAGACAGACACAAAAGAAGCCTAGAAAAGTAAAATTAGTACTTTGTAGGAAGTACTAAAAAGATTAATTATCTATCTCTTGAGTAAGCTTCCTATCTTACATGGCAGAAGTCTTTAGCAGCTTCTCATCCTTAGTGAGTACAGACATGAGAGTTAACTGTATACCAGCTACACATTAAGAGGAAGAGATCTGCACATTTACAGATAATACAGAGATGGCCCATCCTATGCTCCTGCCACAGACAAGATAAGAGACAGGTGAGAAAGCCACACCTTTATAGAAAAATTCTGTGATGTACGGAGTGGTTAGCCACAGGGAAGTGCTGTGAAGGAGATGTCACCATCTCATCCAGCTAACAGCCTCAGGGCTCTCAGAAAACAACTGACAGGAATCATAATCATTACTAGCTATGCAAACAGCTTCATTTGATAGCAATATGCAAGACAAGCACCCTGAGGACAAGAGATTTAAACCAATTTTCCTCGCGCTGGTTCAGAATCATCTCGGGCAGGTTCACCTGAAGCTGAGCTGGCACACAGTACTGTTCCGTATTAGCCACTGTAGCCCGTTTTGCTAACATGAATATGAAGAATTTGAGAGCCTTATTCCTTTTAAAAACCACTAGCTTTAGCAACTTGTTTGTATCTTCTTTGGAGACAGAGCCTGTACAGCTGAAGTACACATTTGGCTGGCAACCTAAAAACGATACTGAACAAAATACTGCAAGCAAGTTCCCAGGGAAAATTCTAAATCAAACCAAAAATGTGGGTTAAACTAGATTTCAGAGTACTTCTTGAACACAAACTCATCTGTAAAGGCAATGACTCAGACACTACTTGAAAATATTCACTACAGAAAAGAAGTAGACAAATACTTAAAATAGTTGTACCAAGATATTTTTAGTCACAGCAATTCAGAGAAAAATAATAGAAGGGACATGAAAACAAGTGGTAAGAGGATGGTTCGGGGAAAAAAGCTACAGATGTAATGAAGAGATGTACCATGTTTAACAGCTTCCTTCTCCATACAGGGATTAAATTAGAATCTTTCAGATTCTGCTCTCCCATCCTCTCCAGGAAAAGGATGTCAACCTATGCCAGAACATCCAGACCACACAAAACCTGGCTCTAAGTCCTGACTGAATCAGGTGGCAGATTTGTGAAATTACCTCTCACATCAAGAAGAAACATGCTCATTAGTGGCTATTCAGAGCAGCTGGGACTAACAGCAAATAAGGTTTTTCGCCAGAAGTATCTTCCACTAGGGGGTGTAACTAATTGTTTTTCAAAACCAATCTCTTTTTAAAAAGACAACAGCTTCTACTTATTTACCTCTAAGGAACCAACCTTCCTGCTAGTGCTGGCAGGTGGGGAAGCATAAGGGTTGTGGAAGCAGGCCCAAGGAGGACCAGATTTTTTTTAAGAGAGATTAAAATATTTTAACTTAATGCAGCAAATAAAGAACAATGCAAAGCAAGTAGGCCAGTTGTGTGCTAAAACAGGAATTATGCATATATGATTACGACATTAATATTAAAAAAATTATAAACACCTAGGTACAACCAAGATTATTTCAAGGAATGTTAACAAGGAAATAACCTATTGGATGGAAATCAGATCTAATTTCAGTGACTAAGTTTCAAGAAGAGTTGGAACTCATGAACAGAGGTTTACAGACTCCTCTGCCATCACCTTAATCTACATAATTGAATACAATCACTTTATCAGCAATCTAAATAAAACAATAATATCACCTACACTGCACAAATTGTACCAGCTGTTTGTGAAAAGCTCCAGCTCCTTGCCACTTCTCTCTTTCAATGTCATCATCTCGTCTAACTTCTGTTTGACACAACTAATGCTAAGTTAACTCTAACAGCTACTCATATTCTTATCCTACTATACAATTAATGGTTATTATCATACATTATTTCCAAAGTTATCTTATTGCAAATACCATCCCTGGGGCTACTACAGAAAGAGAGCAATAGGTCCATTTATGGCAGTTCTCTGATACCCCCATTAGGATGGGAGTTGGAATTGCACACAATATTCCAGATCTGGTCTAAAGCACTAGCTGACAGTCAAGTGGAACACTTCCATACCCAGTTTTAAATAACCTTTATTCCTGTGACAAGATGATGCTGCAATACTGAAAATACACATACTGTTACCCATTCTGAGTCACTGATTTTCACTGTCTATGTCCAACTCCATATTACATTATATATACATACACAAACACAAACTGCCTCCATCACACAACCTAGAATATTTTAGGACTTCAAATTAATTTTATTGTATAAAAACTGCTCTCATCTTTCTAACCCCTCAAAAATGGGCTCATTTTACTACATCATTTGTACCCTGCCAAGTGCAGCACCAGAAAGAAGTGGTAAATTCTCATATTCTACCTTGAACACTTAAAGTATCAAATGAACAGGAATTCCCACTATTGACCTGACCTTGCACTACTCTGGTTTGATTATATTGTAAAACAGTAAAACAACTTTCCTTATATGACTAGATGTTATGCAAGACTTCTAACTGGCTGGTGGTTTCTTACGTCATTCTACAGCTTTAGGAAACACATGTGCTTACCTTAAATGTCTATTTAACCGCATGCAATGGGGCACAGGCAACATCATCTGACAAAGGTCCCCATAAGCCTTCCAGAAAGTAGCTAGGGAACTTAGGCACTTACTTCAGGAGAGCTGCTTCTTCAGCTAATGCTTAGGTTGGGTACCCATTTTAGGCAGATGAATCTGTTAGTTCCTATTTACTTTTGGCTTCCTTCAAGTCAAGTCTAGGTGTTTTAAGAGCTAGAGAGTATTTTTTTTTCCTCTGTTGAATGAAAGGATTGGTAAGACTGATTTTTCTTCTCAATAAGAAAAGCATTTTGTTGGCATACCCTAGTCAATAGCAGCACTTGCCTGTAAGGTAATGTCTTCTTGAACAAATGGATGTTTAATTATGGTCTTGTCTCCAAAAGACAAAGGTTCAGTCATTGTTTGAGCCTATATTCAAGTATGTTGTATTACTATCACCTAGTAGAATCACACTACAAGTAGATTTGCCTAACTACTAATGGGGTGTGCTTGTCTACTCATACAGAGTCATTGCAAGGTCGGCATATCTAAACACAAACTAAAAAGATACTAAAGCTCATATTTACAGAGTCAATTACAAGGCTTGTACTTGTTCTATGTATATTCCTACTTATAAATAGAAAAAACTATCTTGAAAGTCTCTACAGTATCAGTACTATTAGTCTACTTTTTATGAAGCATGTCAATCACTCAGCTTAAAACCAGTATACAAAAATGGTTAGCTACCTGCGGGTCCGTGGAGGCTTTGGTGGAGGAGAATCCTGTTTCTCAGCATCTGAAGAACTCACAGCATTCTCCATATTATTTTCATCCTGATCAAAAGAAAAAATTTTCATTCATAGCTGTACAGCTGAAACACACAATACTTAAACTGCGAAGACCAAAGATCCATAATGATACCTGAAAATAATGTATGACAAGACTACATATTTTTTTAGCTATCATATAGAAATAACTTTTGAAATTCTACTCTAAACTCACAGTATGATTTTATATCTTGTGTGTCCAACTTCAGATTTTTCTGACTAAACATTGTTCTACGTGTAATTGTACAATCCACTAGAGAAAATTCTCAAAAGCTAATCTTTCAGGTTAGCAGTGAGCAAGCTCCCTTATTTTCTCCAAATTATTCATACTGTAAACATTTATTTTCCAGTGTCAAATTATTTTCACTTGTATAAGCACTCCATTGCAGATAAAACTAATTTACAGCACAGCAAGAAAATGGGAACTTCTGCTACCATAGAGACAAGTGGATAAGATTTAACAACTTGTTCTAAACTACTTCCATATCATCTCCCATTTGCATACAGTGAATTTTAACTTACTCAGCAGAGCATGAATATTTTTATTTCGGTTTAAGAGGACAAATATAAGAAGTATTTATAGATACAAAATTATAAATATGTATCCATACACATTTACATGTATATAAATACACAACATTGTTGTGTGTTAACCCCAGTAGGCAGCTAAGCACCACAAAGCCACCCACTCTCACGCTTTTCCCTCCAGCCCCTGGAATGGGAAGAGGAAAGGCAAGAAAACTTGTGAGTCAAGATAAAACTGTTTAGTAAGCAAAGGAGAAGTGGGAGAAGAGAGAAAGAAAACAGAACAAGTGACGCAAAAGCCATCACTCACCAGCTCCTCTAGGTAGCCCTACACCTAGCCAGTTCCTAACCAAATGATGGCTAATGTCACTATATGTTACAGCATCTCTTGAGTTAGTTTGGGTCATCTGCCTGGTTGAGTCCCCTCACAATCTCTTGTGCTCTCTTAAGAGTCTGTTCACCAAGAGGGCATTAACGACGTGCAAAGATTGTTCAGCAGCAGCTGGACCATTTGTGTGCCATCAGCATGGTTTTGATCGATCTAAAACCAAGCAGCCCAAGAGCAGCTTTGTAGAATATTAACTCCAACCCAGCCAGACTCAGCTCAGTATGTACAAATGTCCGTGCACAAAAATAAAAACAAAAAAATGCAAGAGTCAAAAGCTGATACATCATTTCCATACACATGCCACAGCCAAAGATCTAAGAAAACCAAAGAAGACCACAGTACTATGTTGAGCTTAATATTTGTTTTACCTAAAGGCTTTTCTTGCAGGAATTTTATTTTGAAAAGCAATTTCAAAAAAGAACCACAAACACCCTGATTCTGTGTAACATATTTCAAAGCACAACAGTCACAAAGACTCTGCTCATGAAACTGGGTCTGCCCTCTGCCAGCCTACCTGTTCTGACTTGGTGGCAGAGTGACCTTCTTTGGGCTTACTAAACAAAAGGGAACTCCCTGTTAACATCTGCTTGAAATGGGACAGTTGCATTTGACTTTACTCAGCGATTTCAGCTTTGTAAGAGTAAGTGGTAACTACGTTATCTCAGCACTAACTATACTCAGATTCAGATTCCTTAGTAAGGTGTGTTTAATTTTCATTACTAGTCTTAAAAGTTATCCTATTACTATCTGCTACAGTGAAGAGTATTATCAAATTCTGTCCCTCAGTGTATTAAGTGAATCTTTTCCTGTGAAGAAAAAAATTGAATCTTTTCATCTTTCTCATTGTTATTCACTAATCTCCCCCATTATCTAGCTGTTTGATACAACATTCTAGAAGTGCTCCAGCAGAAATACCCTATTGTTACTGTATCAATGGCTTGTGTTAGACCTTCCAGACAAACTGCACAGGGAGTTCATTGTCCTGCTGACCACTGGCTGTAACTATCAAGCTTTTTTTGGAGTGAGATTCAACTAGCAGATAAAACCGACTTGCATTTAGATAACCACAACTGAAGCTCTTATTTCAGTCAACCGAGGTTGTTTGATTTTCATAGAATAGTTTGGACTGGAAATGACCGTTTAAGGTCATCTATTCCAACCCCCTTGCAGTAAGCAGGGACACCTTCAACTAGACCAGCTTGCTCAGAGCACCATGCAACCAGATCTGGAATGTATCCAGAGATGGGACACCCACCTCTCCAGACAACCTGTTCCAGTGTTTCACCACCCCCACTGTAAAAAATTTCTCCCTCATATCTAGTTTAAATGCCCCACTTTCAGTTTCAAACCATCAGCCCTTGTCCTGTTGCAACAGGCTCTGCTAAAAAGAGTGTTGCCATCTTTCTTATAAGCCCCCTTTAAATACTTGAGGGCTGCAGTAAGGTCTCCACTGAGCCTTCTCTTCTCCAGGCTGAACAATCTGGACTCTCTCAGGCTTTCTTCACAGGAGAGGTGTTCCAGCTCTAATCATTTTGTGGCCCTCCTCTGGACCCACTCCCAACATGTTCATGTTCTTCCTGTGCTAAGGCCACCAGAGCTGGACACAGTACTCCAGGTGGAGTCTCACTGGAGGAGCAGAGAGGCAGAATCACCTCCCTCAACCTGCTGTCCACACTTCTTTTGATGTGGCTTAGGGTAGGGTTGGCCTTCTGGGTTGTGAGTGTACATTGCTGACTCACATCCAGCTTTTCACCCACCTGTGAGCAACCAGTCAGTAAGCTGGGGATGAAAGTAACAGATCAATTCACCCCACTGACTATATCTAGGGCTTAGCCATGTAGACTACATGCAAAGCCTCCATTCCAAACCAGATTCTGCTCCTTCTTGTTTCCAGATCTGAGTCTTTACCTTTTGCAACGTTAAAGCATACTCTTGCCAAATACCCCAGATTTTTTTCTTTATGTATGTCACAATACACTGTTTAAGTCTCTGTTACTTGTATTAATAACGGGCTTTCGTTTTCCTGGGGTAATACATAACAAACTCTAATAGCCTTACAGAGATAGGATTATTATCCATCAGTTGGCTCTCAAAGTGAAGTGTACTGTGAACCAAGTTTTAATATATTTAGTATACTGGGTTTTGTATCATTCTAGACTCTTAACAATATTGGTTGCAAGTAAAACACCTTCAGGGATCTATTGCATCAGCTTTGCCTAACAATCACTCTCAGCAAAAAGTGTGGTCATCAAGAGATAGTGTTCAAAGTCACAGTCCAGGAAAGCAGAATGACAAAACCAGCTATGAGATTTATATTTTTTAAAGTATTAATGCTATGCTTAGTCCATGAACTCAATGCAGAACACTGTCACTTAGGAACAAATGGAATGAAACAGGCCATCCAAGACCTCTACCAGCCTCTTTTCAAAGATGCAGCACAGCAAATTCCAGCTCATTGACTGGGTGACCATATAGACCATTTTCTCCTTAACATACATGAAAGTGAATTTTATTGCCTTTGTTATTGCCTGAAGGTTGGTGCCAAAGGTGCTGATGCTCACAGTATCCAACAGCAACAACCCAGTTTCCTGCTCAATGGCTGTGCCTTGCTCCTCTCTGCTTCCCTGAGCTGTGCAAAGTAAACTCAATCTCTCCCATATGTAGTCATTACTATGGACAGCACTAATATTACACTAAAAACCACCCCCTTAATCGTAACTACTAGCAACTACAGTTAGAAACTAATGCACCTGCATCCTGCGAACAAAGCGGACTGTTCACCTTGTTTCAGCACCACAGCACATCCAAGTTCCATAAAGCAGAGATATGAGAAAGAGCAAGACTCCACAGGAGGAGCTCCCCCCCTTGCCCACCAACTTCTCCCTCCTACAACAGATCAGAAAAGTATTCCCGGTCAGTTCCGCCAGCACAGAAGTTTTGAGGAACAAATCTCTTATTTACGTACTCAATTTTCTAAAAGTTACTGGCAAGGGAAGGGGTGTGCCTGTTGGCTGTGTTGTAGACTGACTTGTCCAGAAAACAAACCAGCAGCTGTATCCCCGTCCTTCTATGTTTGTAAAGTGAAGTATTTGTGAACAGAATGTTTCCTGTGATACGCTTTTCTCCCAGGGGCAGGAAAAGGCCTATCAGAGAAGCTAATATGTGTCAAAGATATTTTTTAAGCTCTATGCATACAGTAAGAAGCTGTTTCTAATTGAGACAGGCAGAAGTAGCTGAGGAGGCACTACCATTTTCGCTACTCATAATAAAGCATACAGATATGCCTTGCAAAAACATGTATAAACAAAAATGTCTGAGGCATATATACAACCATAGACAGTTTACAAAACAAATTCCTTAAAAAAAAAAAATCAACCAAAAACCTCCACCATAAAAAAACAAAACCAAAACCCAACCAAACAACAACCTCCCCCCCACAAAACAGTACTTTTAATTTCAGCCACAGAAGAGAAGTCAGTGGTTACCCTAACTTCATCCACTGGGAAGGCTTCAGGCAGATCTATGCTCAAAAGCTTTCACTTCTGCATTAGGTTAAAGTCGGCATCAGTTCACTACACTCTTCTAGTTACATTACGTCAGGAGCAAGAATGTTACAGGAATTATGGTCACCAAAAAAAGAGGTACTTCACTACTTGGCTTAATTAGCTCAATGGACTTAAGTTTCTGTGAAGGCTACATTTACTTTTAGACAACTCATTCCCTGGTAAGTGAAGGATTTTTACTTCAAAGGTTGAAGATGGTAAAAGTTTAAGGCAGTACCTAAATGTATGAACCCATGCAGGGATGAAAGCAGTGCCCATATCAACTTGATACTGCTGCAGCATTTTAAAGTAGTCCTGCTCAGTTATGATCTGATCTCTTGTTTGAACTGAAGAGATACTGCTTGCTGAACTCTTGGAGCAAGTCTCTTACTTGTTCTCAGTTCTGTGTCACAATAGATAGAGAACAACTGGTATTGTGAGCACCCTTGGGTGACATCAGCTCACAGATTTCCCTTTCTGTCACACATCAAAAAAGTGACTGGTCAAACAGGCAGCACAACTAGCACAGAGCAGAACAGAGGAAACTCTAC